GGGGGGGGGGGGGACATTTGACTCGGTTCCATGGCAGTGAGCATGCCCCCTAATGACGATGGGGCTACCATTGTTGCAGAGGATGAGATCTTCCCTACTGCGGACGAAATAGTTCCTCGTAGGGAGAAAGCTAGGTCTAATTTCTCAAAGTTGCCAGAGGACGACCCTGAAATTTTGGAGTCGTTGATGACAGAGGCGTCTCTCACCGAGTTTAGGGCTAGATTCAAAATTCCCGCCCATATAGACCTGATCCCCGCAGGGCATGTTGTGGTGCAAATACACCACCTTAGGTATCGTGCCTTCTCGGCATACCCCTTCTATATGGGTTACTTTTTCCCCATTCTTCCCCTGGCCGAAGAATTTTGCTGCTATTACCGTGCGTGCCCAGCTCAACTTTCCCCCTACATCTACAAGCTTATCCGCATGATCTCAAAATTTGCGGAGTTAGCCGGGGTCGAGGTGACACTCTGCCACCTGATGCATCTCTTAGCCCCAAATTTTCACAAGGGGATGATATTACATCTCCGCAACAGAGGCAGTAAAATCGCCAGTTCTGGCTCAATTACTTCTACGTCAGAATCGATGATATAGTGATTAATGCAAGCGGGTTCCCTGAGCTTTGGAACGCCGTAAGTATCCTTCCTTTTCCCTTTATTGTACTTCTTGCTGGTTGACTCTGGTTATATTAACTGTCTTTTCTTCATGCAGCTGAGGTCGAACCCCCTCCTTTAGTCGAGGACATTCACGACTGGGTTAGTCGGGTCCTTCCTTATTTAGTCGCGTCCTTCCTCATATGGTGGGGATACGCGAGTGGTCGGCCTTCCGCGAAAAGCTCGGACCTATGCCCCCCGGTAAGTTTGCTTACTTCAGGTCTTCATTGTTGTCTTTCTCATTTTATCTTTGCGGGTACTGATTTCGGTCTTCTTTTTCCTTTATTTTGTCGTTAGCATGGAGAGTTTCGAGGAGGTCAAAAGCTCCTACTCCCTCTTTCCGACAAGCGACCGCAGCAAAAGGATCTATACCGCAACTGGATCTACCCGGTCATCTGCCTCCGCTTGGCCTTGGGCCTTAGCTAGACCAACTCGACCAGTGGCGGCTTTAACGTCTGAGACTCGGTTGAGGCTTTGGAGGATGTGATTCGCGTTCTTCGATCTGAGCAGGCAAACGATTTGGAGACGGATAAGCTCAGGGAAGCTCAGCTTGATCGGATAAGGGAGCTAGAGAAAGAAGTTTCTGGTCTTGAAGACCAACTCGCCGCTCTTGAGGTCGAGAAGTCCCGACTATTGGCTCAACCGTCCTCCTCTCATGCTTCTGCCTTTCCTGATGTCCCGCGGGATTTATATGAGAAGTGGATCCATGACAAGGACCAACTGGACATATTCAGAGATTTGATGACGGTGGGGAGAGTTCCTGAGGCTGATTTTGAGGGTGCTCGTGCTAAGGCGCGTGCGGCGCGGATT